GACCAAGTTCGAGACCAAGCGTATGCCAAGCATTCGAAACAAAAATATCGACTGAGTACGTTGACAAGAGCGTGGGTGGCCAATCCAGCTTTCGCCAAAGTTGACTGAAGTCGACGGAACCAAACGGAGATGGTCGAAGGCGTGGGCTCAGGAAACAAAAAAAATCAAAAAAGAGAAGAGTGTAGCATGCGTGTAGTATAGGAATAATCCTACACCGTATCGTTTGTTAACTGTGCGGCTAGTCGCGGAAGCGTACGGGTAACCGTACTCGGCGACCGGAACGTGAGACGGCGGTCTCGTTCGCGTCGCGTGAGCCTGCAATCTCATCCGAAGTCAAGGGCGGCGTGGTCTGCTGATCTGGACGTGAGACTGTCGTCTCGTCCGTAGACGGTGCAGATGACGCGTGCTGTTGACCGGGACGTGAGAATGAGGTCTCAGATGTATCTAGCGTGGGACCTGAAGACAATTTGAGGATCCCGCTAGGTTTAATAGGTCTAGCATTGAATCTCAGGGTATCAGATAGGGCACTGTCATCGACGTGTGCTGGTTTGAGACGATCAATGCTGACGATCTCGACGCGGCCATGTCGATCAACCTTGAAGGTCTTTTCGTGACGAGCGATCACGTGAAAAGAGCCTTCGTAAGGTTGTTGCCAAGGTTTGCGTACCGAATCTACTCGTATGAAAACATGTGAACAGGTAGATAACTCTCGAGAGAGAGCGACCTGTCGATGTTGTATTCGAGTTGACACCGGAGACAGCGTTCGCATAAATGCAGACAGTCGATGGACGTAGTTTGATTTACCGAAATTAGGTCTGCTCCGTGATGTGAAGAATTCTCCAGGCAGACGCAATATCGTGCCGTATACCAGTTCAGCGGCGGAACATTGTATATCTGCCTTCAGGCTCGTTTGAATACCTAAGAGGACGAACGATAAGGTTTCGTACCAGTTGTCGTTCTCGTGTGCTCGTAGAGCCCTTTTAAGTTGGCAATGAAACCGTTCAACTTAACCATTTGATGCTGGGAGGTAGACGTAAATGCGTATGCGAATGCATTCCGTACCAAACAGCCGGGTCAGCGAGGAGAATAGTTGATAGGGGAAAATTTCTCGAATAAAGCGTGGAATTCATCGTCACGCGAATAAAGTGACAAGGATTCGGTACACGTACATGGGAGTCTATTATATTAATACTATTCTTATCGTTATCCGTCATGTCGCGTATATTATATATTAAAAAATAAATATACGACAGACGCGGATAGATAAATCATAGACTCACCAAATTGGCTTCTTTGGAAGATTTGACCAGAGGTTGAGGCGTGTTCCAAACTTTGGGATCACCAATTGTAGCGTGGTGTCGAGTTGGGATTAACTATGAACACCGCTACAAAGAAACACGTGGCAAGTAAATCAGAAGGCGAAGGTTGGACGTAACCAAATAAATCCATAAAATCCCCGAGAAGCCAAATATCAGAAGGCAGTTAATAGACAAAATCGAGATATATTCGCTGGCGATTTCTTGGCATCGAAAAGATACCGAGATCGTGCCAGGATACAAGCTTGGTTGCAGGACGTAACCGAATTCGCGCGAAGACAAAATCAAAGTGTAAGAATAAGAATGGAAGCACAATATAGCTGTCATTAGCACAGTCAAACAAAAGCACATTAAAACAAGCACTGGTACAGTTGGTTATAATAATAATTGTTTTTATTAAACCAGTCGTGTTCTCGTGATAAATGTGAGTCACTACAGTTCCATCACATTCACTTTACATACAAAATATATGTATTGAAAGGCCGTTCCCTTTAATTGACTTATCTAAATTCCGTTATTGTCTAACGTGGTTTAGGTAGCTAATTGTATACGAGGATAGGTGATAACGAACATTCGTACGATCTTGGAATCAGATCCACGGGCCTCCACTAAAATGCTGGGCCCTTCAACCAACATCGTCTGATCTAAATGAGGATAAATTGTAAGCCCGACGTGATCGAGCTGAACGCAACAAGCTACGTCGATGAAGAGATTTCTGCACTTGATACATTCTACGAACAAACCCAACGGGTCCAGCTCAATCTCTAATCCGATGCACTCGGCAAAGCCTGTGCAGAACGACATGGACATGAACAAATCTTATTCTCTTATTGTTACTTTGTCCTTATGTCAACGATTCATTGATCTGTTCGTCGGTTTGTTCCATTACGATTCAAATTATCATTATATGCTTATTATTACATTATTGCCAATATCATGACCGAATGTGAAATTATTAATCTTGTTCGTGCTGTCATTAAATTATGACATTTTTTATTTGTGAATACATATATTTCGTATATGAAGCGAATGAAACAGAGCAGAGCAAAATGACACGCAGGGAAGATGGCTGGGAAGCCAACTCCATTTTAGTCAAGCGTTACTCAATATTTATAGTCAGACAAAATAAAGCTACGGACATATGATTGATAGGATAAGAAGGGCACACACGTAAACGCTCATATAAAAACAGTCTAGATTGATAAGCAAATAAATATCAAGGTTAAAGTATGGCTCAAGTAAAATGAATAGAATGGGATGTCCGAAAACTAGAATAAAGTATATGGGCATAAAATAACAACTGACACTACAGCCTTCTGATGTTCCGTCTACAAAGGGATCTAAACTGGTAATTGACACGTAGTCTTCCTGTAGTGGTGATCATAGTCAACCGTGACTTGACGACACACTACACAACAATTTGTCTAAGTTCACATAGTCGTTACGGTGTATCGGTGTTTTGTTGATTGACTAACTTTCAATCAAGTTTAAAGAAGAATGTGGACTTCTATGAAATAACTTACTTGAGTCCATATATAAATAGATATATACGTTATTCTGAATGTGTAAATTTTTATTCCAGCAAGTTATTTACAACGCAGGTACAACATCTGTGACACCAAACTCAATATGATGAAAATGATTCACTAATTACAAGTGCAGGTTTTTGAGCGTCAAGTGTTCTCCTGAATGAGTCAGTTGATGATACGGACACCATTGCATCGAGTATCAGTTTCCAATGATTGATGACTCGCTGTGAAAACGTGAATATCAAGAATATTTTGTTCGTTATTGGCTTTCGTACATGCCTGTTATGTCCACTGAGTTGTTCTGATCTAAATTGAACGAACAGTGAAGATATAATATGTTCATAATCAATTCTTCTTATTCTGTGCATCAAGATCAAAATACTTCCCACTCCATGGCAAGTCAGCGTGAAAAAGTCTAACTTCTCAAGTTGCTTTGTGTGTGATTAATGGAATGGCTAAATCACCTTCCATCGACGATACTAGAGACTCAATACCAGACCGAAACGCTAAGAATCAAGCCAAAACAAATAATCTGATTTGCACTAGATCTTCATAAACACATTAGATATTACTGCAACTTCATTACTAAGAAAGATTAGTTCAGCGAATAGTTTTCTTTTCGGTGAATTCATTTTTAAAGCTTTACAGCCGCAACTATATATGTTTATTTTACAGGATGGTAATAATTATAATACTGATAATAAAGTTCTGTTAGACATGGTGACAGTGAGGCAAAATAAACAAAGGTATTAAAAAATGTTTAAAGAAGGAAAGTTCAAGAACCATTTGACTGTTAATGGCTTAAGTATTCATCAAAAGTTAGGCAGGGAAATTATCCTTGGTAAAGGATGGTTCAGCATGATAAGATAAAACGTTGAAATTTAGATCAAATTTAATCAGGATGATCGTAGAAACAGAAATATACCAGCTAGGGTAGAAGATTTAGGGGGAGATGGGTGTTGAAGCAGATGGGTGTGAACACAGAGTCTGTCTTGATTGAATGACATGTATTTACAAGGTGTTCGATTATTGAGCTTCTATTGAGCCATTTCCTCCTCTTTTCAGCCAAGCCAGATATTTCTTTTGGATAAAGTACGCGTCGAAAGATTTCTCTACCCTAGCTCTACATGAGCAGGTTAATTGATAAATGCACATTGAGTTGGTCAGATGCTTTAATTTATCTTTAGAATTATTGGCGAACGATGATCGGGTGGAGAGTACTATTTGAAATGTTGCTGAGAAGAATGTTCTTTTTAAAGAATCAGAAATTCTCCTCTTTAGGATATATGCAGCTCTGTCATCATTAAAGTCGATTTTCATATATAATGTTCTTTTTTCTACTTTAATTTTTGCGTTTTCGGCGTTTTCGGTTCCATGTTCTTATCGATGAATATCGAAGGATATCCGTTTTTGATAAGTATCTTCTTCAAAAGGCTCGATTCTTCATCTATGACTTCGGGAATACAGATTATTTGTATTATTGTAGCGAGTGTCATTGTTAAGTTCCTTTCCTCTTCTTTCTGTCTTAATTTCTTCACACTCTTCCTCCTTCGCAGCCATCTGCTACTCATTCTTACTTCATAAGACTAATGACACTGTGGAGCGTATCTAACGATGAGTCACGAAATCGGCTCGAGGACTCATATTCAAGTGTTATGAATGGCAAAGGTGAGCAAAGGTGTCTGTTTTGAACTCGCAGTGACTTAAGGCATTCTTAACACTTCTGGCCACCCATTTAAACACCTACTTAAGTTTAGCCTCAATACAATTTTTAGGGGTTACATGCAGAAACTGGCGACACAACACAACGGAACGGAATGTATACACACCTTTTACTCCTCAAGATTGATCAAATTCAGGAATATTCTACTGGGTGAGCTAGTGCAAGCTACTTTCCAGTAGTACATCGAGAGAAAACGACATATTCTTAAGGACTAAGGACAGTATCTTACTATGATTTACTAACGTTTTTTCTTTTCCTCTTTCACCGATTATATACCTAGTTCCTACATAGAGGTATCTTTGACTCACTGTTAATATATATGGAGGCCCATTAAGCAAAAGTCTCTTCTATTCGTCTAAAAACACTTGAATTATTTGAACCATATAGGATAACCGCAAATTTTCGAATTCCCAAGGTTGTCGTGTTACAGTGATGGGTTGGGATTCTCTTAATCTCCCAGATTATATTGTGAAGGCAATCAGTGATTGTGGCTTAGAACATCCTACACCTATACAAACTGCAGCTATACCTCCTGCACTCCACAGTTTCTCCGATGTTCTTGGATCAGCACCAACAGTATACGATGTTTATACACTTTTTATTAACTTCCTCTTTTAGGGAAGTGGGAAGACTTTGGCGTTCGGAATTCCTCTAGTATCAAGGGTATTCTCTCTCAAAACTCTTGAAGTAAGTAACCGTTTTATCATGTTGTGTATAACAATATTTCTCGTTGAGACCATACTTTATAAACGATCTTTGAGCGACGCCGAAGTGACCTTGAGACAACCCATGTGTCTAACAAAGTTAAAATAGATTTTTAATTAGTATGATGGAAATAGAATTAAAATGTAGATCTCGAATTTAAATTTAATATATCATATAAGGCTTTTCATCATAAACTGGTACCTGGCATCATACTGAAATACTATTTGCCTATATGCATGAATAAATTTGCACCACATCCCAAGACTTGCAGCCTTTAATTTTATTGGTTCGAACAGATTATGGTGTCTTCGTACTTTCTTCGAGTCTATTATACATTATCTAGACAACTCCTTGGTAGCTTTTCCACTTTACCTTCAGTCCCTATCATGGTTTGGATAGATTCAGAAAACTCGGTTTAAGGGTTTTTTAAGGGATAATCAGGCTTGTTCTTGATGTAACTCATCATAGATCCGCTTTTTAAGTTTGTACAGCGAAGAATAAAAGTCAATTTTAGTCATGATTTAATCGTCGGTTTCAAACTAACACTACTTCTTGCTTTAATAACGTCGTCTGTGGATGCACCTTAAAGTGTTACCCCTCATAAATGATTCCCATTTTCGAAAGCTGGATAGAATTACTTGTAGTCAAACTAGTCAAAACGTGTTTCAAAGTCACATCTGTGAGTTGAGCTTGAGAAGTATTATAACCTTAAAAATTCAGGTCATGGGAATAATCCTTCCCTTTAAATAGTGCTTAGAACTAGTTCTGCGATGTACATACGTTTCCGGCAGTATGTCGCAGATAAACTGCGTTGGTATTTTTCAGAGTTGAGTGGTAATTGACTTATCTACTCAAATTTGAGGTTGATTTACATGGCAGAAGTAAAATGCATGAACGACTGTGGAGATTCCAAATAACTTCGATTGTTACATTTATCAGTCAGAAATCATTTTGCTGTCATAAGGCGACTTATGATATAAAAAGGTGGCAAAACTACATGGGATCAGGAATTTTGGGACAAATACTGAACCTTTCCATATCTGATTTCCAACAATAAAGGGGAAAGATTTAGGACTAAGAGTTCACGTTATACGTCTGGGTAGGGGGTTTAGACTAGGTTTCGGGATTAGGAATCAAGGATAAGGCTTTCATTACAAACTGGTAACAGCCATATTTCTAGTATTTATTTGTTTATTTGAACACAAACATTGGTACGTGGGGGCACCAAATACATATGCACCACACAATAACAATGAGGTTGTGAAGAGATAGAGAATGTAAAGTGCGTATAATAAAAGAACAACAACGAGCAACGATCAGTCTACATTAGTGAAATAATGATAATAATACTAATAGTGGTGATAATTGAAGAAACAGTTCTCTTAGCAAAAATACAACCGAATAATTCTCTCAGTTCATTTTCGGGGTATGGCCCCCTAAGTAAACCACCAGCTTCGGTATGAGCACTCGGGCAGTATCCCAGCCCTCACACAAATCGAGTGATTTATGTGGCACACATGTATTTGGTGCCTCCTTGTACTATGAAGAAAGTAGGATCGCCACTGGCCTTTATTCTGAGCCGTTTCTAATAACGTCTTTAGCCTCTGTGTTGCACCATCTCTAGGACCCCAACCAGAGAGTCGTGAAGGACTAACGAAAGCAAGTCCTGTACAGCTTAATTTAATACTACGACATCGTGTCATACACTGAACGCCTTCTCCAACCAGTCCCAGCGTCGGTAATTAATGCATGATGTGCAATTCTCTGAGACGACATTCGTAGAACATGTCCAAGTCACCGAAGTCGATGTTTCATGAAAGTGACACCGATTGAATAATCGTCGCTGTGCCCGAACACAAGTTGCCGAACCTCTGCATTACTAACATGGTACTACCATTAGATGTTAGCAATCCTCACACTAAACTTCTCACCGTCACTGATTCAGATAGGTTGAAATAGCTTCCGGCATTTACTAGATGCAGTTTCTGCTTCCAACACGTTGGCGCTCTCTGACCACCAGGCTTCTCGGTCCTTGCGCAAGCTTTGCCTAATTTCATTATGTAACAGTCGTCGTTTGTGGTCAAACTCGCGGTCATCCGAAGTAAACTGACGGGCCTTAATAAGTTGTAAAGGTCCTGAAGCCGAAAGCGACTTTACTCCCCATTTCCGTGGTGTCATGCAATCGCAACCAATACTTGTCTATACGACTCTCCTGTGCCTAGACGCCCCACCTGAGCATTCAAGTATCCAGCCAGTACTACAATATCTGTTGAACGTACTTTCTGTAGAAGAACAGTCAACTGGTGGTAAAACATCCTTGGTCGCGTTCGGGCTGCAATCTGTCGGAGCATAGGCGATGACAAAAAGACATAGTTTCTCACACCGATTTCTTCTCACTTTGATGGAACTTTCCAATCTAACAGCATATAACCGACTGTTAATTGGGATCCAATCGATCAGTACTGCCTCAGCTCTAACACTTAGTGCGACACGAACGCCAGCGAAACCGGATAAAGATACCACAGGGCCCTCGAATAAACGCATGTGAAACAAGCTTTTCGAAGCGACAGATGGAGAAAAATTTGTGGTGCTTCACTAGAGGCTTGAATACAGGTCTCGGGTCAACAACATATATCGATATTGAGACTTTCCAAAGACACAGACAACCCTATCTGTTGTCCGATCTGCATTAGTAAGCGAACGTTGAAAGACATCAGTTTGAATGGTATATGTGGTTTTAGAAAGACTAGTTTAGTATTCGTATTCGGTGGTAGTATCCAGCTTTCGACCAGTTAGTGACTTAAGATCGTTTGGATAGGACAGGGTTTCCACCATAGGTGAGTTGCTGTATAAGTAGAAAAATGAAATGCGTAAAATGAGAATAAAGGGGAATACATAAGTGACGTAGTATACAAGAAATAAAAACGAATGTTATCATGTGATTGTGAATAAGATTTGTCTGAGCGAGCGTTGAAGCAGAGAAATTTTTATGGTAGTGGTTATCATTGGTTTGTACGAAGGCTTTGATTCTGTCTGGGTGCCCAAACCGAAGCAGGTTAATGTTATTAAACATTTTCACTGTTTAGTCATATGACTAAGTTAATTTCGAGCATATATACGAGACTGTGTCAAATCTGTTTGGTTCTCCTATGAAGTAGAATACCGCTCCAAGGATTTTCAGGCTACTTTGGAAAATCCCAGCTTTTTTATCGATTTTTCGAAAATATGATAATTTTCCTCTGGTCATTTTAAGAGCTGCTTACAATTGTCCCGAGTCTTTTGGCTCTTCATATCTGCCAATTTTCAGCGTCTAGGTAGCAAAACATCTGTAAGTTCTGCCAAGTTTTTACAAAGCTCTTCACACAGGATGCCAGATATCTCCAGCTATCCAGAATTCTCCATAGAAACCAATCCCTAAACTGACTAGTCGACTTAGTATCATCTATATAGTTTATTTACATTTACATCGTGTAAAGGTACTGTATTTGCTTTATGTTCGTAATAGTAAAAGGAATAATAGGAACTTTCAAAGGCTGTGGAAAAGTCGCGATAGGTGGTGTCTACTGTACAAGATTGTAGAATGAATCATATCCCGATAAGGGGACGTGGTAGTTAATTCAAATTCTGATACTCCTGGTATGTTGTACCGAAATCATCAGTGACTAAATTTATTTAAGCTATGATGCAAACGTTCATAAATGATATCTAGCCAAGAGCCTCGTTGCGATTTTCATCGTGTACTTCATTGTAAATTTGTTTTCCAGAACCAGACTTGTGAGGAAGAGTCCAAAATTAATGGCTTGATTGATCGACAAAAATGCGAAGTGGCATCTTGCGTCAAACCTTGTGGGAAAAGGAAGAAAAAAAAGAAGGAAACTGACATTTATTCAGGTTTAGATGTCATAGAAGAGTTAGATGTAAACACTGGAGAAATTCGCACAGTCCATTCCCTTGGCGATCCTGTTACAGCAGATCCTGAAACACTTCCAATCACCAAATCTCCTGTTTGTTTTGAACCGAATTCAAAAAGGAATCGTGTTTATGGGCTTGTTCTAGTTCCCACCAGGGAATTAGCTATTCAAGTATGAAAGAGTTTTATTCTAAAGGAAGTTTCCTTTCTAGTCATTTTTGACGAGTTGCAAACTTGACTTTGTTCACATGTAATATCCCCCTATACTCATATCTGGATTGTTTTACAATTTGTTTCCAATTTTCTATATATCTATTCTAATAATGCACTTCACATTGAAAAATATTCTCATAAGGTCGTTATTTATATAAACCGGATTTTGTATTAAGATGTTCACGTAGAGTTGCTTTTTATGTCTAGAGTCACCAATCACTTTAACTTGCAGTTAAATAAGACTAAGTTAAACAAGACTAATAAACCGTTATCTTTCGGTCAGTCATAGAACAACGTATGATCTAATACAAATATGTAACAGTCCTAGTTGTAACCCTTCACATCAACACAGCAAGAAGAAACTAACAAAACAAAAGCGAAACGTTCAGAAATGTAGCTATGAATTAGTTCTGCATCTTTACTTGGCCAATTCAATAGTAACCAGCATAGCACGAATTAACAATGGGTGAAGAGGTGTGATACCTAACTACTCTAGTTAATGAAGGCTAGTACGCACATCAATCATCCTTATCTAACAACACAAACCGAAAACCAGTATTATTCACTTTTTAATTTCACTATACTCAAGAGCGCTATCTGAAAGACATTTACCATTAGTTGCTGGAAACTTGCACACGTTCTTGACCTTCACAGTCCACGCTTTGTAAATCATACTGATGTAAACTCGCCCTCTTCCTCGATATTATATCTCGTCTGTAATAAAAGTGGTGCAAACAAGCAAAACTCGAGTTAATCCTTTGCATTCTTATCATGATCATCATCATCAACGGCTCGTTAAAAATTCTTACTCGACCAATACTCTTCGATCAACAAGTCTTTAACACGTTAGCGTACACCTTTGACATGCTTTTCACTGATATATAGTGCCATAAAATCTCAATTGTCGGATTCACCTCTAACCTTTGGGCTAGAACATACTACTGTCGGGCCGCGAGAGATATGTTTGTGCTTTAAAACCCGTAGAAGGGTAAATATGTGGTTTGCATATCCACAGTTAGGTTTGAAACCTGCCTATTTCTGGGATCGCGGTTCTTGTGCTCCATTTGAACGTCAGATAATTATGAAAGCCAGTTTCTCACACTATATTAACCAAATTCATATGAGATTCCCATTCGTTCTTATAAAATGGAATAGTTAGTAATCACAACCCACATAATACAGTTATCTTAACGTCCAAACCATAGATAGTATTAAAGTCTAACTGGCGCTCCTAAACCAACATCACTAAAAATCGTTGTTCATCTCCTACAAAATCTTGGTGAGTGCTGCCCAACTGAGGGATTGTTGGAAACTAGTTGAAGTATTCCTCAACGTCTTCGTATCATCACAATTACCTCTTTTGTCTTCATCCGCGATAGTTCTACTGACAACAGATTTTTCAATCTGTAATCTCTATCAAGTCTAAACATGTGTTTATTTTGGTCCTTTGCCACTATTTTACCCATAGCTCTTATTTCCGTTCCTGCTTTATGTTTAGACTTTGCTAGTACGTTTAAGTCAATGTTTTCAATAGTGGTCATTTTTTTCCTCGAGTAAATATAGGTTACACAACATATTCGTGCTTTAATGCGATATGTCGATTGTATTCGTATTGAAACTATCGTTGGTGGAATATCAGTTGATAAACAGCTTCGACTTCTTCGACGTTGTCCGGATATACTTGTTGCTACTCCTGGAAGATTATGGCATTTTATTCAACAAGTTAGTTCTTTTTATTCATTTGTGTCTTGTATAGATTGATTAATAAAATTGAACCATCTATAGGAGTCTGGTTTGTAATGAGCACAAGAAATCAGAATTGAATAAGAAAAAGAATTATTGGATAATTTATAAATTATTAAAAGAAAACCCTCATGGATTATACCTTCATTTATTTCAGCTAGTTGGTTTGTTTTCCTCCAAGTGACTAGCTTTAATGAAATCATTTACTGTAATCATAATGGTAGAGGGGAAACAAGTATTTACAACCAAAATACTTAATTGTATTTTAATGTTTTACGTATTGGACTTATAACCATTGGGTTGTGGTTTCGAGCTCTTCTTCATATTACCAAGGTTTAGACATTTTGATGATACTACCTCCAACCTACTGTATAAATCTTTGCCTAGTTTTCAAATAATGTATTTCTTTCTATGACAAAATGAAGTACAAGTAAAAATATGAAATCAACATCTTCGATTTATGATAAAAAATAAATATTTGGTTGAATGTAGTCGCCAATATTGATTCCAAACCAGAGTGTCTGGTGTTTGGTAACAATAATATATGGGTTTAACGTCATTCAGTCCTCCAAGTACATATTTCTTATGACTTAAATGAAAACTTGACATTTCGTTGAGTGTTGAGTTTCAGGTTAGTTCAAAAAAAGAGTTCATTGTTTTTGCTTCAGCCAGTATCTTTCCCCTATAAAAGTGTTTTTTACCGTGTTTAATGGATTTCGACATTTTGGAGCTAATTATCATCTGTTTTATAGAATGTGTAAGATAAGAATGTTTTTAACCCCTGTAAATATTCACTTCATATTCTAATCAAGTTTTGTGAACACAAAAACTAACCGATCATTTGTTTTCGCGAAGTTTAGATTGCGCTACGATAGCTTATTGACCAAGTCACTTACACTTCAATCAATAGACTACATTTTCAAACTCCACTCTATATCTATTTGGGAGGCTCTCATTAGCCTTTACACAAATTATGTGACTCAAAGTCGAGTGCGTAAGCTTGTTAAGTTGCTTCAAATTCGGTTTCCACGTAGTACCGGTCTGATTTGTTTAGAGCACTTGAAATAATGTGCATTTTCCTACATTTGTTTTTAAGATCGTCTTCCAGACTGCTTTGGATAAAAAAGATTACTGCTCGTTAAACTATCTTTATTTATTTATTTATTTGAACACATAAATATTGGTACAAGAGGGCACCAAATATGTATGCGCCACACTTTTGTGTGAGGGCTGTGATATTGCCCGGGTGCCCAGACAAAAACAGGTGGTTTTCTTAGGGGGCCACACCACCAGCCTTTGACCTAAAGGTCTAACCTACAAGGCAGTGGAGCATCGTGAGGAGATGCAGTCCCATGGTAGCCGGTGACCAACGATTGGTTCATACACCATTTGTTCCCTCAGGATACTGGAGCCAGCCCATGTGTACCATTGATTTGGTTTGGGATCCGGTTAAAGCGCCGGACATTCGCTTTTCGTGCTCTGATTTTCGTAAACAACGCCCCCGCCACGAGAAGGCAATGAGTAGGACTTCCGTGGCAGAGGTTATATACGCGTGGCCGTGTGGGAGCATTTCGAGAGGGAGGGCGGGCCCACCCCACTCTCGGCCATACCAGGGCATTTGGGGGCCGTTAAACCACCTCTTAAATACTTTCACAATTGTTTCTTCATTGAGTGACATAAACTCTAATGTAATGACTATGAATTGTATGGTTTTTCAATTTTTATATTTCGAAACCCCTAGTTCGACTTTAGTATCTATAAGAAATGTTTTGTTCGTTTATTTTTTTTGTCAAGGGTGATCCTCATGTTCTGACATTACATAATGTTAATGTAGTTGTAGTTGATGAAGCTGATCGAATGATTGAAGCGAATCATTTTGATGATTTACGTTCAATTTTCAATTGGTTACATTCATCATCAAATTTTAATAATGAAGGCGAAAAAGAAGAAGAAGAAGATCAAGAAACTACAACAAATATTCAAAGACATTTGAAGAAAACATTAAATTTCAAGAGAAAGCATAAATCAGTTGAAATATCAGATAATTCTACGGATATGATGAAAGTACAACGACAAACATTAATTTTTTCAGCTACTCTTACATTTGTACATAGTGGTGCATTAAAACCAGGTACTGGATCTAAAAATCACAAACTTTTACCAAACAACAAAAATACTATGACTAAGAAAATAAAACTTGGTAAGGTTTATGCTCTTTTTTGTTTAACTTAATAATTGTCATGAATATTATTATTTATTATTTTATTTGAATACATAAATACTGGTACAAGGGAGCACCAGACACATATACGTCACACAAATCTCATTTGATTTTTGTGAGGGTTGTGATACTACCTGGGTGCCCAAACTGAAGAAGGTAGTTGTATTAGGAGGCCACACCCGGAGCCTTCGACCTAATGGTCTGATCCACAATGCAGTGGGGCATCGTGAGGAGATGCAGTCCCATGGTAGCCGGTGACCAACAATTAGTTCATACACCATTTGTTCCCTCAGGATACTGGAAACAACCCATGTGCACTATTGGTTTGGAATGGAGGTTTTCCAACTCCCCTAGGTAGGCTCTCTTTGTCCACCAACCTGGTTAATGCGGTTTACATTTGCCTTTCGTCCTGTCAATTTCGTGGAGAACACCGGTGGTGCGATAAGGCAATAAGTAGGACATCCCTGGGAGAGGCTATATACGCGTGGCCATGTGAGAGCATTTCGTGAGGGACAGCTGACTCTCCCCACTCTCGGCCGTACCAGGGCATTTGGGGGCTATTATTATTCAATACAAAGAGTTTATTGTATTCTTCTCCATCGTCTTTATCTGTTGTACATACTTCATTGATGAATAGGCTTTATAACACTTTATATTATAGAACAACCAAGATGCTTTGAAATGGTAGTATCAACGGTAGTAGTATTGAATGTAATATGCTATCTAGTCAACTCCTATATCTAATCAGTATGTACTCTAGTAGTCGCGACTGGGCAAAACTGAAAACAGAGGATACAGTGTACACACGCTTGTTTATATTGTATTTAACTTAGGATTACGCTGTTAAATATGTACAAAACAATTGTTATTTTATACAAACATTATATAGGCTAATCAAAGCAGTAGTACATTACCCTGATAAAGGTTGTCTGATGACAAATATTGATCTAGCAAAATTAATGGCAAACTGTCATCTAAAGTCACTATGTCAATTATTGTTCATCAAGCCTCTCTACTACTCACTTTGACTAAACATTGTCACAAACAAACCTGGAGAGACAAATATAACTTTACCTAATATTTTGCTGATTGTTTTTTACTTGAAAAGTCTCTGTTTTTGCTTGTTGTATACAAATGATATAGCTCTGTTTGTAGTAAGAACGTGAACACATCACGTTCCCATGACTACGTTAAGTAGTAATGTGAGGATGTTCGAGGTATGTCTCTGTTCTTTTAAATACAATACTGCCTCAAAACCAGCATGCATCGTTGGGTAAAATGGACATGGAGATTGGACAGACTGACCACATCAATTATCTTTAAATTCTGACCAAACCTTTTTTTATTCTATTACTGATGAGATATCATGTCGATTTTCTGACTTACAATATCATTCTTGTCACTATTTTTGTGCCATCGCATTTCTACCCTTTCTCTAATGCATATTCTATACAAAGTTTAGTACTTTTGTCTTTTCATGGTTACTGGATAAAGTTGATCATTTGTTCTTCTATACTTTCAGCGGTACTACGTGAAATGTTCGGTTTGAAAAAATCTGCTAAAGTAATCGATTTATCATCAAACCATTCCACTAATCAATCAGCTTCAAATCCCAGCTTAGTCTGTCAATCAACTTGCCCTGATAACCTTTCTGAATGTCGGTTGTTATGTCCAGACCAGGCAAGCAAAGATATTCGGCTATTTTGGTTCATTGCATTTGGCCGTCATCTTGGATCTTCAGAGTATCCCAATCGACGGTGCTTAATTTTTCTAAATAGTAAATCTGGCGTACGTCGATTAGCTGGAGTATTACGTCAGTTGCTCAGTTCAGATGCTTTTTTGGTATCTGGATATCCATCACTACAGTATGTAAATGTCTTACATGCTGATATGATTCAGAAGCAAAGACTACGCGCACTTGAACGGTTCCAAGGTATTTTATGTATTGTTGTCGTGGTCTTGTAATTATATTTGACATAACATTAGCAAATTAATTGCTGAATTTCGATATGCAATAGACATATGGACAAAAATCGATTAATTTGAGCTTGTGTTAGTAGTTCTTAACATTTAACACCTATTCATTCTGTCCAAATCAGTATTGAACACTTCCATCTCCTGATCAATGTGACTAAAACTTATCAATCGGAAAATACATATAAATATGTAAGAATTACTCAGTTTATCTTTTTTATCCTCCTAGAGGATCTCATTACTTGTTCAAAATCAATTGTCATCTCTTTTGTCTCAGTTTTAATCCTTTAATTTCTGTGACTATTTGTTTAGGTGGTATATTCCAGTGTTGTATTTCACCATTATTGATATCATTGTAACTTTTCGTTACCAGAAGTATTCACTGTTTTACAAAATCGAACATTAAGTTAAAATAAACACAAATACTTGGTTGTCGTTATTGTTATTTTTGCTTCAACTTATGAAGTTATGTACTATTGGGAGGAATCAGTTATTATAGTTGTGAACTTCATTGAGTCTAACTCATTTTTCATGTTTATGTATTCGGCTTTAAGAGACATTATGTTAAGGTTGGTGATACTACTAGGCTATTTACAATGTAATAAATTCATTGTATTTTGAACCTTTAGCCCAACGGTTGGGAATTAAGTGCTTTACTTGTACCGATAGAGGTCGTCAAATAATTTATTCACGCTTAAAACTGTTTATTTTAATTGGTGTTGAACAGAACTACGATGAAACAAACCTTATGATAATCAAACATATAATATGACATCCATCGACTAAGTTAACTTCTGTTTTTAACTATATAATCTCCATATTTAGAGTGCATATTAAAGGTAACTCATAGTCAGCTAAAAAAAACAGATGATCTCTATCTATGTGATACCATAATTTATGGTAAGTTGAACTGATCCATATTCATACCAGGTTTCTATTTTACCTGTGAATGACTTAGATATACCTTTAATCTGTTCAGTTTCGGTTTTACACCAAATGGCCCCCAAATGCCTTGGTATGGCCGAGAGTGGGGTGGGCCCGCCCTCCCTCTCGAAATGCCCTCACACGGCCACGCGTATACAGTCTCTGTCAGGGAATTCCTACTCACTGGCTTCTTGTGGCGTGGGTGTTGTTTACGAAAATGAGAGGACGAAAGGCAAATGTCCGGCGCTTTAACCCGATCCAAAACCAATGGTGCACATGGGCTGGCTCCAGGATCCTGAAGGGACAAATGGCGTATGAACCAATCGTTGTTTACTGTCTACCATGGGACTGCATCTCCTCACGATGCTCCACTGCTTTGTGGGATAGACCTTTAGGTCAAACGCTCGTGGTGTGGCTCCCTAAGAAAACCACCTGTTTTTGTCTGGGCACCCGGGCAATATCACAGCCCTCACACAAAAGTGTGGCGCATATATATTTGGTGCCCTCTTGTACCAATATTTATGTGTTCAAATAAAATAAAATTACACCAAATGTCACTATATCTCGTTATTCCATCTATATGTTTTCTTCATTTTTACATGTAATTTCAATTAATTATATTAAGTTATTCATCTAGTTTGGTTCTTTTTATGTAAGCAAATTAAACTAATTCGACAGTTTTTTTCTCTTTGTATTAATTTTGTTTGTATGTATCTTAAATTCAGTTTTTCAATACTTTATGCTTTCATATTCTAGCGGATCCAAATGGAATTTTACTCGCTAGTGATGTAGCTGCTCGTGGTTTAGATTTAGCATCAAGTGATAGTATAGTTGAAAAAAATGGAGTATCATGGGTTATACATTTTGACGTACCTCGTACAGCTGAATTATATATACATAGATCAGGGCGTACTGCTAGAGCTAATCGTCAAGGGACTAGTTTATTATTTATTTCACCAAATGAAATTATGTTTTGGCGTCGAATCGCTGTCAGTCTTCAAAGAACTAGTAAGTGATTATGCTGTAAATAGAATCGTTTATTCTGTTGATCATGCTTTTCAGATTTACTATTGACTATATTCACTGTATAAAGAAATGGCTTAGTGTTTAAGGTGTTTGAATTTCAGCTCCTGGTTTGAACTTCACACTACATACTTGGGTTTAGGCAACGGGTATGTATCGTTAGCCGTCACACTTAGTATGTGGCTAATATCCAAGTACCTGATGAATGAATTGATTTAGATCTAGGGAAAAAAACTGTACAATTGTTCGAAACTTGAAAATGTGTAGTTATATTTTAATGATAAGTGAATTGTCTAGGAATAGGGATTTTAGTAATTTTCTAGACATATTTAGTGGTAAACAACCACGAAATACCTAAATCAAAAAAGTTAAATGGTCTTCATGATAAAAAATGTAAATAGTTTAAGTTTCGTGTATATGTTCATGTTCTGAAATCTTAGTTGCTCATATCCGTATTTGTAAGATATTACTATCCATCTTATTGAACCTCAGTCAGTCAGTTAGCTACAACTTAGGACCAGGCACATATATACATCGGTCCAAGTTGCCATACATCATTAGCACAACAAGATGAACACCGGATTCATAGAAGTAGTTAATTCAGTGGTGATAATACATAAAAGAAAGATTGCATATAATGACATAGTACAGGAAGAAAGAAATAGTTACTATTGTTATTATCAGCTTTATTCAATATTATAGTTTTGGTACAATATAGAATTCTCAGTGCAAAGTATTTCAACAAGTTTCCGTTTCTTTCTTCTTGGTCGGTCCTGGCTATAAATATTGAGTGATCGCCAGTTAGATGTTAGCAGTTCAGTAAATGAACATTTGAATAATGTGCATTCTTTTCTTTGTATATTGCCAGCAACCACATTGTCTCTTATTGAGTGTTTTGTAACTTTGACAACGAAAGGTTGTACACTTTTCAGAAACTCAGCAGAATAGGTTATGCGATTGGTAAACATAATGATATATTAAAACAAACAAAAATAGATAACTTGTTGAAATATCTAGATGGCTGGAACAGGTAGCCCAGATGCTCAAGCAGGTCGCCTTTTAGATATGAAGCAATGGTAATCTCATAGTTTAAAAGAAGACAGGGAGTGTATACACCTACGCCATTGTGATCGATTCTGAGTCATGTCACCTAGAGTCTCAACCATTGGCTACAATAGTCACGCGGACCCCAACCAACTAGTCTGCATCTACCAACATGGCTCAGACTTGAAGTTAGTAACTTTGTGGGCTGATGCCACGTTTTGGTTTGGCCACCCCTAACTTCCTTCCAACCATCCCTAACACTAGTTAGCATTGCTCCTTATTGAACCTAATGTAGTAATATGATTTGTTATGAGTAATAAATTGTGTCTGAAATAATGCTAAATAGAAGCAATAATACTATTCAATTGTGAAATATATAATAAACAAACTAACATGTGATCATTGTGAAACTACATTTTAGGTAACGTTTAGGAGAATAGGTACGAATATTGAAAGGTTGTGTGTGGTACGGATAATCATGATTGATCGGTCGAAGTAGATCATCAACTGTAGTGGTTAGGACATGCGTTAGGTATGCCTAACAACAGCCAACCTTGACGGGCGATGTTTGCTGGTGTAGAATCGGGTTGAAAGCTAGTAGTGTCTAAATCGAGACATGGTATTAGTTCATAAAGTCATATTGGTAGATGCAGACTATGTGGTTATGGTCTACATAATAACGACAGTCTATGTTCGGAGACATTGGGTAAGTTGGCTAAGAATCGTTTACAATATAGCACAGATGCATTCACTCTTTATCATCCTATCAATCTCGAATTTGGATTTCCCACCATATATACCTTTCTACTATGTCTTTTCGAACCATATTATCAATATCCAATCTTTCTCATTATCATTGAGACTAAATTATTTTGATCTCTTTCGTCATTCATGTTATCTTCATCCCTTCATTATAATGTTCTAAAGCAACTTATCCTAAGCTTTACGTTGATTATATATGTCTGTCCTATAAGGTAATAACGAGTAGAATTCGATAGAGAATTTGAAATTTTAATTTCCAACAATCTGTGATTTATACCAATAATCTGATCATTATGCGTAATCACTATCTGAAAACAATTCTCAATGTTATATTATTAAAGTATACACTAAATTATTTATTTATTTATTTATTTGGACACATAGATATTGGTACAAGTGGGCACCAGATACATATGCGCCACACAAATCTCATTTGATTTGTTTGAGGGCTGTCATACTGCCCGGGTGCCCAAACTGAAGCAGGTAGTTTTCTTAGGTGGCCACACCCGAAGCCTTTGACCTAATGATCTGATCCTCAAGGCGGTGGAGCAACGTAAGGAGATGTAGTCCCATGGTAGCTGGTGACCAACAATTAGTTCGTACCCATTTGTTCCCTCAGGATCCTGGAGCCAGCTGATGTGCACTGTTGGTTTGGAATGGAGGTTATCCAACTCCTCTAGGTAGACTCTCTTTGTCCACCAACCTGGTTAATGGGGTTTACATTTGCTTTTCGTCCTGTCAATTTCGTGAAGAACACCGGTGGTGCGATAAGGCAACGAGTAGGACTTCCCTGGGAGAGGCTATATACGCGTGGCCATATGAAAGCATTTGGAGAGGGAAAGCGGCCGTACAAGTGCATTTGAGGGCACTAAAGCGTGTAATACATTAATAGAATTTTTCATATTCTATCTAATCTTGATAAGTATTTTCCAGATTTTTGTTTTGTTTTAATTATGATACATAGTTATTCTGTTAAATTTTCCATATACAACTATTTCAGATCTGGAACTTGATGATTTTATTATTCAACCAACAACTATTCAATTGAATATCAGTGAACAAATTGTTAAATTAGCTAAACAAATTGATATACAAGAGCATAGAAATTCTCGACAACTAGCAAATGATAATTGGTTTACTAAAGCAGCAAAAGATGCCAACATTCTATTAGATGATGATGATAATAATAAAGTAGGCGATGATGAGGATAATAGTGGAAAGTAAGTTCAATTTTAATAGTTTACTTAAGAAAAAAAAACATTAGCATTACTTTTTAAACTACTTAAATTTGGATACCTCTTGATAGGATAAAACTCTACTGGATCAGAGTTAGAATCCCTTGTAGAAGCATCATTCATAATTGTTATAATGTCATAAACTATCAAATATAATATAACATTCAAGTTGCCTAGTCTAATTACTGAATTAAAAATCTGTTCAACACTAGAGATTTGAATATATATCCGTTGTTGTTATTATTATCATCAACTCACTATCCAAGTGCTGATTCGTATTCTTGTCTTTGAGTCATACTTCATGTGTGAAATCTAATGACACTGTTCGATCTCAATTCCTTTTTGTTTTGTTTATTATTTTTATAGAGTCCTTTAAGGTGATTCTTATTCAACAATTGAATGATTCATGATATCTCGACATAGAAAACTTAGTGTTTATCTAAAATACACTATTCAAGAAGACGTAAGCAATAAGAGATTTCCTAGGTGTCTGCTATACTATAAATGTTGAATAAATTAGAAAGTATGTACTGCAAAATATGAAACATTAGGACTGGTAGGATCGTCCACTGATTTTGCAAGCTTTGATAGGAGAATCATAAAGGAAAGAGCCGAGCGTTGAACTTCCAAAGTAGACGAGATATTTAAGTTGAACATCGGTTTACTCAGTGGTATATATGATGTTCACTAGATAAAAAAAAGTGAAAAATGCTTTTAACAGTAAGAAAATGAATTAAAACATTGAATAATAATAATAATAACAATGTTTGGGATTGACAACTTATTACAATTGAGGAATATAGGTTTCAAAATGAATGTATATTACACAAATTTCAATTGAAGCTTGATCACCATGGAAAACCTGGGAGCACTGGACAGCCGTTTCGTCCTATTGTGGGACTCCTTAGCAGTGCGCATGCACGATCCCGCTCGCGGGATTCGAACCCAAGACCTATCAGTCTCGCACGCGGGCGCTTAACCACTAGACCATTGAGCCGGTATCCAACGGTGTTAATGTCTAACTTTAACTAATCCACGAAATTGAGCAACACATCCACCAATGTCATCAGTGAGTTACTATCTCACAACTGACCCGGTTGATATATATATATATATATATATATATATATATATATATATATATATATATATATATATATATATATATATATATATATATATATTACATAGACTACTGAATATTAACACGTGGTATGATGTATTATACAAAAGTAACGAGCAATAGAGAAATGAATTGCATAACAGACCTAACATTCTTTCCGTTTTCGTTGTGTGTTTTTTATTTTCTGTAGTTTTGCGAAATGTCGCAGTTTGAAACTGTGAATTGTTACCTTTTACTAAATTTCCTCGACATAACACACTCAAGTTTCGTTAAATTTAGAAGACTATATCGTTTTATATATTCAAGAGTAAATAACCTCACAATTGATTGATCACTGGGTGGTGATCAATGTCATGTGTGTCAGGTCCTTCTTAGTGCAGATCGAATCCTATCGGCCATGTAATGTGGCCGCTAGTCTAAGTGACTCGACATTACATGCGCTATATTGAGATAAGATGGTAGTTGGAGGTAGTCAACAGGAAACCCTGGACCTAGGTTTCATGCTATTTGGCACTCTTTTCATTATGACTTTGAAGCGATAGAATCGCCAATCAGAATACCAACTTATATGACCTTGTTCTTGTGTGAAACCAATCATACATCAATCAGTACTAGTAGCCGTGAATCATCTTGAATCCCTTTTGGTCTTTCTCACCTACCTTTGCCCGTTCAGTTCAAAACGCCAAAATCAGCCTATATGATATAAATCATTTATTTCAGATATACTTGGTTTATGTACAAGCAAATCAAACGTCATCATTCCATAAAATAAAAAATAACAATTATACGTAATCAAGCCAAAAAGTGGCTGTGATTGTGAAAGACTGTTACCATTAAATTGGTAATAACTTAAGAATAGTATATCGTATAATAGTAGCCATTAAATCAAATATAAACTTACAATCAAAGGAATATGAATATACATATAATATAGTTACTTAATAGTTATATAATAAGAATATATATGTATAATAACAGTTCATAAATAGATCCTAGCAGTTACCATTCACTTATCCTTCTTTCAAATATAACACTTTCTCACAAGTATATTTCCAAAGTTAAAAATGTTTTCTTTTCGTTTTTCAGAAGGAACTCATCTAAGAAAAAACTTGACAGTACAAAAATACTGAAGTCACAGTTACGTCAGGTATGTAAAAATTAATCTATTGCTAGTTTACATTTCTCCCTCAGATCAGCATACTAAATGATCTCGTTAAATATTATTATTATTATTACACACTTGAATTATTAGTTACCAGGTTTCGGATTTGAGCCTCGTAACATTTATTTTGATATAAGTAGTCAAATAGTATCATTACTAGCCTTCATGCATAAACAATATAGCTCATAGTTTAATACTTCGATAATTGGTTTCTGTTTTCATACCAATGATTTTGGGTTGTTGTTAACTTAAGTTTCCTTGTTGTTAAAATTGTCTCTAATCTATCCAAATTTTCCTCGACGTTGGGGGAGGATCATTGGCTTCTTGACTTCCGAAGAATCTCAGCTTTCACTATAAGGTGTCATAATTGTTCTGTATAAAGATCCGTGAATTATGAAGACAGTGTTTAAGTGTTTTAAATTGTTTATTCTGGTTAGCGTTCTCTTTTTCGCATGGTTCTTATCTACGGGATGGGGTTGCTGATCCCATACCTAGCCCTCTTCCTTTATCCGGTGTTGAAACCATCAGTAACCATTGAAAGAGCTACAAGTGGAGTCTTTTTCTCGATGTACCAAAGTTCGACTTTTCACTTCCAGTTGATCACTGTTTTTAGATTCAGTCCTATATCTTGTTAACTTACAAGTTCTGGTGTAGTTTTGTGTTTTCGAGAGAGCATACACAAAATCACAATTATACTGTTTTTTACGAAATAATGTGTGACTGAAGTAGGTAATAACTAAATTTCAACTTGCCTTAGCATTGAAACTAGTTGCGTCCTTTTCAACATAAAACCATTTGATTCACCTCTGAATTGTAGGCTGATGTAGACATGTGTTTTCGATACCAGTAGCGTTATAGATCTCATTATATTTTAGCTTTTTGATCGATTTAATGTATAATCATTTTGTATCAATGTTTCTGTCAAACACTTTACGTCTTCAATAGTATCACTAGTGCAGATACGAATTAAATAAACCCTTGTTTATACTGAACTTAATCAGTAACAATGAAAACCGAGTTATTACTCTGTCCATGTAGGTTTTCTATAAATGGAATGTTTGATAGGATAATCGTCTTTTATATTAATAAGTATACTTAAGAAAGGGAGATGAATATTTATCTTTTCATTACATGAAAGATTAATACACTTTTGAGGTGTATTCATTTCGTTAACAAGCAATTCATATCCTCACGTTTGCCATTTCTAACTTTGATATCATCCACATATCGTTTATAAAGACACATCTTTGAATTCAATCTTTAACCAAATTGTCAACATATACCATAAATATTATCAACCAGTAATAATCCTAAAGGACTAATTATAGCCACATTGTCAGTATGTCTAACATATTCACCATTAAAAGTTAATTTTTATCTATTTATTTGAGCATATAGGGGGGGGGCCACCGAGTACATATGCGCCACACAAGTCACTTGATTTGTGTACGGGCTATGATACTTCCCGGGTGTCGAGATCGAGGCGGGTGGTTTCCCTAGGGGGCCACAACCGGAGCCTTCGATCTAGTGGTTTGATCTTCAAGACAGTGGAGCAACGTAGGGAGATGCAGTCCCATGGTGGCCGGTGACCAACAATTAGTTCATACGTCATTTGTTCCCTCAGGATACTGGGGCTAGCACATGTACACTATTATTTTGGAATCTGGGTTTTCCAACTCTCCTAGGTACACTCTCCGTGTCCACCAACCCGGGTAACGCGCCGGACATTCACTTTTCGGCCCCCAAGTGCCCTGATACGGCCGAGGGTGGGGAGAGTCAGCTCTCCTTCTGGAAATGCTTCACATGGCCACTCGTCAGGGATGTCCTACTCACTGCCTTCTCGCGGTGTGGGTGTTGTCTATGAAATTGATACTTTATTACATTTGTGTGAGAGAATAATATGAAAGATTATTTTGTAATTCTTTAGAAACGCTTTGGTTGAATATACTAAAAGTAATAAAGTAACAATATCTGGCAATTTTAACTTTGATTGTCATTGAATGTAGGAACAAGCGTACTTAAAATTGATCATAGATAGTATTATTTCTTTGATTTGTCTACCTATTAAGATACGTGAAACTTTCCACCTCTTCCAGAGTTTCTCCATCAACTGTGTTTGTGTTCTTGTTCCCTGTGTTGTATTCAAGGATCTTACTTTTTCCCTTGTGTATGTTGAGGCCTACTGATGCAGTGACTGTTGCTACATTGTTTGTTTTGACCTACATTTGTTGATGTGTATGGGATAGAAGACCTACATAATCTGTAAAGTCTGAATCGTCTAGTTGCATCCAATCTGTCCATTTTATTCCATGCTTCCCCTCAGATGTGGGGGTCTTCGTAATCCAGTCAACCACCAGAAGAGATAGCATTGTCTGAATGCGGTCCGTACTCGGAATGCGTCTGTCAGCTGTCCTCCATTCATCACTTTGTAGTGTAATCTTTCGCATGAATTGCGGATGACGTTAACAATTTTCTCAGGTATTCCAGTGTCGAAGAAGTTTCCATAATGTTTTATTCACACTATCGAATGCTTTCTCATAATCAATGAAGTTGATGTATAGTGACTGATTCCATTCAATTGATTGTTCAACGATGATCCATAGTGTCCCGATTTGGTCTGTGCACGACCGATCCTTACGGAATCCAGCCTGTTGATCTCGTGGTTGGGCGTCTACTTATTATTTCATCCGGTCCAGCGACACACTCTTGAAAACGTTTCCTGGTACTGACAGTGGTGTGATTCCTTTGTAGTTTTCACACTTGTTCAAATCTCCTTTCTTTGGTATATTGATAAGATATCCTTCTTTCCAATCCAACAGCATTTGTTCTTCCTCCGGAATCTTCCTGAATAAAGTATGGAGCATGTTTGCAGCCGGTAGCTTGTGTAATAAGGTGAAGTTTAATTCAATTTTTGTATTGGTTATTTGAATCTTCCCATTGATGTTTAGGACTGTAATTGATCAGTCTCCTATCGTCATATGTACTTCCTATGCGTTCACAATAGGATTCTGATAGATCAATATTCTCTATTCTACATTTACTTGATGGTATCATTAATAGTTCACTTAGTACTATTCGTTGATTTTATAAGGTAATTATCTACTTTATTTGCCTATGATCTTACGTTAAATGTATGTTCAAACTGTTCACTTTTCAATTTAGCTAATCAATGTTTCACATGGAAAATTACTGAAATTAACTAACGGACAAATGAAATGTTATCAACGACCTATACAAACACTTTCAAAGATCAAGTTACTTAAAGAGTTTGGTGCAATATAAGCACATGTACTATTCTCTTCAATTTTTCTGTAAATATAAATTACGGGATCTTTGTAAATCTCAATTAAACAATAAATATATATACCTCCTTGGTATTTCTTGTCTTCTACGTACCTAGACGATTGACTCATACAAACAATGCGCTTTTCAATACAAGCCAAATGATGTGGACAAAAAGTTGAATTTCATTCGTCTTTAACATTTTACGGACAGATTTTAGTAACGAAACCAGAGGTAATACCTGCGAGATCTGTGAATCCACAATGCACGATTTACAAGCCAATCGAGAGATTCATCCACAAATGAGGAGACACCAGAGTTATGAAAATCACATGACTAGTGCTACATATACCACTAATACTACATTACCATACATACACATTATACTCTGCACACAACTTCTTGTATCAATCAAATACCATAAACATCTCACACTGATACCAAACAATAAACACGACCAGCTACATTTTGTACAATATTCTCATCAAACATTTGAACTATTCACACGGTAAACACAATTTCAGCCATTCCATACGTTCACGACATACACACTGTCGCTGATCTACTGTATTTCAGTAGAATATAGAGTTACTCATCAAAATTTACCCAAACCTTTTCTATCCAACCATTTACACCCGATTCACATGCTAATCAATAGTCAATTTATTTCAGACACTCATAGATGCAAATCGACATACATCAACAGGAACAAGTGGACGAGCATATTTAATATGGAAAGAGGGTGAAATACCTGTGTGCTCAGTACATACACATTGCATTATTCATCATTACGCACTGGAATTGAATTCAACTTATGTGATTTGATTCAATAGTGCACATGTAATGATAATCAAGAATTACAGTTTGAATTGATGCTGCCAACAATTGAAACATTATCATGAAGCAATTAGTTGTGGTGATCTAGTATAGGTGATAAGAGTGAGTGATTAATGAGTGGATTCTGGTTAATCTGTATTGTAAGTGTTATCAGGTGAGGTGAGGTGATGGTTGGGTTGATTGTGTAGACTTAGTTAGTGTTTATGATGAGATGATGGCGATTGTTTGTTGATTGAAGAGTGTGTGTATATTATTAGTGAGATAGTTGATAAGAGTGGATGATTTGATTGACCGGCAGTAAGTTAGTAGTTGGTTGGTTGGTTGGTTGGTTGGTAAGTTTAGCGCATGCATGATCACAGTATGTTCACTATATTGTTTGATAATACTCCGTGCAAGGACGGAGTTGGAAAAAATGAGTTAAGACTCATTGTATTGTGCCTCCCCACGGAAATCTTTAGTAAAAGGCGAAAGATTTATCCGCAAATGAGGAGACACCAGAGTTATGAAAATCACATGACTAATGCTACATATACCACTAATACTACATTACCATACATACACATTATACTCTGCACACAACTTCTTGTATCAATCAAATACCATAAACATCTCACACTGATACCAAACAATAAACACGACCAGCTACATTTTGTACAATATTCTCATCAAACATTTGAACTATTCACACGGTAAACACAATTTCAGCCATTCCATACGTTCACGACATACACACTGTCGCTGATCTACTGTATTTCAGTAGAATATAGAGTTACTCATCAAAATTTACCCAAACCTTTTCTATCCAACCATTTACACCCGATTCACATGCTAATCAATAGTCAATTTATTTCAGACACTCATAGATGCAAATCGACATACATCAACAGGAACAAGTGGACGAGCATATTTAATATGGAAAGAGGGTGAAATACCTGTGTGCTCAGTACATACACATTGCATTATTCATCATTACGCACTGGAATTGAATTCAACTTATGTGATTTGATTCAATAGTGCACATGTAATGATAATCAAGAATTACAGTTTGAATTGATGCTGCCAACAATTGAAACATTATCATGAAGCAATTAGTTGTGGTGATCTAGTATAGGTGATAAGAGTGAGTGATTAATGAGTGGATTCTGGTTAATCTGTATTGTAAGTGTTATCAGGTGAGGTGAGGTGATGGTTGGGTTGATTGTGTAGACTTAGTTAGTGTTTATGATGAGATGATGGCGATTGTTTGTTGATTGAAGAGTGTGTGTATATTATTAGTGAGATAGTTGATAAGAGTGGATGATTTGATTGACCGGCAGTAAGTTAGTAGTTGGTTGGTTGGTTGGTTGGTTGGTAAGTTTAGCGCATGCATGATCACAGTATGTTCACTATATTGTTTGATAATACTCCGTGCAAGGACGGAGTTGGAAAAAATGAGTTAAGACTCATTGTATTGTGCCTCCCCACGGAAATCTTTAGTAAAAGGCGAAAGATTTATCCGCAAATGAGGAGACACCAGAGTTATGAAAATCACATGACTAATGCTACATATACCACTAATACTACATTACCATACATACACATTATACTCTGCACACAACTTCTTGTATCAATCAAATACCATAAACATCTCACACTGATACCAAACAATAAACACGACCAGCTACATTTTGTACAATATTCTCATCAAACATTTGAACTATTCACACGGTAAACACAATTTCAGCCATTCCATACGTTCACGACATACACACTGTCGCTGATCTACTGTATTTCAGTAGAATATAGAGTTACTCATCAAAATTTACCCAAACCTTTTCTATCCAACCATTTACACCCGATTCACATGCTAATCAATAGTCAATTTATTTCAGACACTCATAGATGCAAATCGACATACATCAACAGGAACAAGTGAACGAGCATATTTAATATGGAAAGAGGGTGAAATACCTGTGTGCTCAGTACATACACATTGCATTATTCATCATTACGCACTGGAATTGAATTCAACTTATGTGATTTGATTCAATAGTGCACATGTAATGATAATCAAGAATTACAGTTTGAATTGATGCTGCCAACAATTGAAACATTATCATGAAGCAATTAGTTGTGGTGATCTAGTATAGGTGATAAGAGTGAGTGATTAATGAGTGGATTCTGGTTAATCTGTATTGTAAGTGTTATCAGGTGAGGTGAGGTGATGGTTGGGTTGATTGTGTAGACTTAGTTAGTGTTTATGATGAGATGATGGCGATTGTTTGTTGATTGAAGAGTGTGTGTATATTATTAGTGAGATAGTTGATAAGAGTGGATGATTTGATTGACCGGCAGTAAGTTAGTAGTTGGTTGGTTGGTTGGTTGGTTGGTAAGTTTAGCGCATGCATGATCACAGTATGTTCACTATATTGTTTGATAATACTCCGTGCAAGGACGGAGTTGGAAAAAATGAGTTAAGACTCATTGTATTGTGCCTCCCCACGGAAATCTTTAGTAAAAGGCGAAAGATTTATCCGCAAATGAGGAGACACCAGAGTTATGAAAATCACATGACTAGTGCTACATATACCACTAATACTACATTACCATACATACACATTATACTCTGCACACAACTTCTTGTATCAATCAAATACCATAAACATCTCACACTGATACCAAACAATAAACACGACCAGCTACATTTTGTACAATATTCTCATCAAACATTTGAACTATTCACACGGTAAACACAATTTCAGCCATTCCATACGTTCACGACATACACACTGTCGCTGATCTACTGTATTTCAGTAGAATATAGAGTTACTCATCAAAATTTACCCAAACCTTTTCTATCCAACCATTTACACCCGATTCACATGCTAATCAATAGTCAATTTATTTCAGACACTCATAGATGCAAATCGACATACATCAACAGGAACAAGTGGACGAGCATATTTAATATGGAAAGAGGGTGAAATACCTGTGTGCTCAGTACATACACATTGCATTATTCATCATTACGCACTGGAATTGAATTCAACTTATGTGATTTGATTCAATAGTGCACATGTAATGATAATCAAGAATTACAGTTTGAATTGATGCTGCCAACAATTGAAACATTATCATGAAGCAATTAGTTGTGGTGATCTAGTATAGGTGATAAGAGTGAGTGATTAATGAGTGGATTCTGGTTAATCTGTATTGTAAGTGTTATCAGGTGAGGTGAGGTGATGGTTGGGTTGATTGTGTAGACTTAGTTAGTGTTTATGATGAGATGATGGCGATTGTTTGTTGATTGAAGAGTGTGTGTATATTATTAGTGAGATAGTTGATAAGAGTGGATGATTTGATTGACCGGCAGTAAGTTAGTAGTTGGTTGGTTGGTTGGTTGGTTGGTAAGTTTAGCGCATGCATGATCACAGTATGTTCACTATATTGTTTGATAATACTCCGTGCAAGGACGGAGTTGGAAAAAATGAGTTAAGACTCATTGTATTGTGCCTCCCCACGGAAATCTTTAGTAAAAGGCGAAAGATTTATCCGCAAATGAGGAGACACCAGAGTTATGAAAATCACATGACTAGTGCTACATATACCACTAATACTACATTACCATACATACACATTATACTCTGCACACAACTTCTTGTATCAATCAAATACCATAAACATCTCACACTGATACCAAACAATAAACACGACCAGCTACATTTTGTACAATATTCTCATCAAACATTTGAACTATTCACACGGTAAACACAATTTCAGCCATTCCATACGTTCACGACATACACACTGTCGCTGATCTACTGTATTTCAGTAGAATATAGAGTTACTCATCAAAATTTACCCAAACCTTTTCTATCCAACCATTTACACCCGATTCACATGCTAATCAATAGTCAATTTATTTCAGACACTCATAGATGCAAATCGACATACATCAACAGGAACAAGTGAACGAGCATATTTAATATGGAAAGAGGGTGAAATACCTGTGTGCTCAGTACATACACATTGCATTATTCATCATTACGCACTGGAATTGAATTCAACTTATGTGATTTGATTCAATAGTGCACATGTAATGATAATCAAGAATTACAGTTTGAATTGATGCTGCCAACAATTGAAACATTATCATGAAGCAATTAGTTGTGGTGATCTAGTAT